CCCAAAAACGTGCTAACACCATCTGCCAACATTTTAGCAAAGCCAACTGCTGCCCATGTGCACAGCATTGCTGCGTAACCGCCTTTGACTGGTCAATCTGAAGCATACTGTGACGACCCAAAGGGTCATCACCTGTTTTAAATTAATTCTGTGCTTTCGAGGTATTTGAAAACCTCATTTAGAGTCGCCTCAATTTGCGCTGCGCAGTCCGAGCGCGTAGCCGGAAAGCATAAATATGAAATTATATGAAAAATGCTAAATTTTGGTGTTAAAATGAATAAATTTGACTTCGGTCAACATTTTGGGAAAACGGACCCGGATCCGTGATTTGACGGTCCCGGAGGGTCTGTAGGAAAATATGGACTTGGGCGTATGCCCGGAATCGAAATTCCGACGGTCCCAAGGCCGAGAATGAATTTTTGAGTAAAATTATTTTCTGAAAATATTTAAGGAAATTGGAAATGAAATTTGATTAGAACGAGTTGTATCGGGCCCGTATTTTTGTTCCGGCGCCCGGTACAGGTCTTATATATGGTTTAAGCACTTTCTGTTAAAGTTGTGAAAACACGGACGTCGTTTGACGTGTTTCGGACTTAAATGGAAAGTTTGATGTTTTATGAAACTTGGAAGGAATCATGGATTTTGAGGCTTAATTTGATGTATATGATGTTATTTTGGTGATTCGATCACACGGATGAGTCCGTAGGATGTTTTTAAGGTTGTGTATATGTTTGATTTGGAGCCCCGAGGGCTCGGGTGAATTTTGGATAGGCCGTGAGTGCATTTTTAACCTTTGTGAAAATCTGGCATTTCAGTTCTGCAATCTTCGCATTTGCAAAGAAGGTCTCGCAAATGCGAGCCTGTGATCGCAAATGCGAGATAGGGGATCCTGCAGCTGGGTCGCAAATGCGACCATTTGGTCCGCAAATGCGAAGTGGGGCCTGTCGCAAATGCGACGTTTTGGCTCGCAAATGCAATACTGGAACTTTCGCAAATGCGACTGTCACGACCCAAACCGAAGGGCCGCGACGGGCATCCGGTGCCTTACTCAACCGAGTACCAACGTAACATATCTTTCTTATCATACTATCATGGGTAAATGAGCTAGAAAACCCTTCATGAGATAACAAGAATAAAACATAAGGGAATACTTAACGTATGATGACCCAGCATGATATACAAACTTATACATGTGACATACGGGCCTATAAGGCCGACATGACCATTTGTAAACTCAAAACATAGGCCGACAAGGCCATACAAGTATCCACACACCTGACATCTGTCTACAAGCCTCTAAGAGTACATAAAATTAGAAAGGTCGGGACAGGGCCCCACCATACCAATCAATACATATCCAAAGCATACTGACCAAATAGGCAACTCCGGAGCAAGTGGAGTACACCAACACCTTCGCTGAGCTGATAGCCTACTAGGAGGAATGTCAACCTGTCTATCGGGACCTGCGGGCATGAAACGCAGCGTCCCCAGGCAAAAGGGACGTCAGTACGAATAAAGTACCGAGTATGTAAGGCAGGAAAGCATAAATAAGAACAGTAATGTAAAGAGAGATAGAGGAGATACAACCTGTAACATCTGAGTGCCTCTGGGGGCTACTGACATGAAATGCATAATACATATATATACATAAACTTTTAAAAACATACGCCTCTGTGGGCATCATCATCATCATATCATACCCGGCCTCAAAGAGGACTCGGTAAAAACATACCCGGCCACGTGGAGCTCGGTAAACCCAACTGATCAGTGGTTGCACAATAGGTGCCATACCCGGCCGACTATAGCGCGGCTCGGTAGAGTAAAATAGATACATATATAATGCATGCTGGACTCATGGAGTCACGTTCTAAACCTTTTGGAGTGACATAAGGTCATTGCACCATCGATTAACATCATGGACATCATACCATCAATATGAACTTCACTAGGACTCAAGGATCATATATACTTTCTTGGAATAACTTTGTAAGGAAAGAATAACATGGACAACCTTAGTTGCTAGGAGTAGATTCATTATGAAATAGCGTATCGTTTATGTTCGTTTCACTTTAGATCATGCCAAAAGAATGAAGGAAGAGCCTTAACATACCTTGTATATACTGCCTCAATCTCAAGCTATGCAATTTTCACGACTCCTTAGTCTACAATAAGAGAAACGATACTGTAGTTATCATTCAAGCGTCATAACTATTATGTATCGACCACAACCTATTTTACGATGAAACGGACAGCACCTCCCCTATATATATGACTTCACACAATTCCAAACAATCACCAAACAGCCCAAACAACATCAATAATAATCATATTGAGCCTCCCAAAACAGTCCACGCACAACCTAATCACTTCATACATACGACGGCCACCGTAGTCGTGTCAAACGACCCGGAAATGTTACGAAGAACTACCAGCCCACAACCCTACATCTATATGGTGTTTTTCCACATCCTTCCTCCTCCAAAACTCCACAAAACAGTAGTAAAAGATACAACCCAATACCAACACGAAACCGCCCAAAAACAGCGCACAACAAGTCGAATAATTCGAACTCACGGCTTCCAATCACCGTCCCGTGAGTTCTAGCTATTAGGAAATGAATTTATCAACATTCCTTCATATTTAAAAGCTTAAATACAGAAATAAGGCATTTTCTTAACTTTTAAATACCTTCCAAAACTCCAACTACAAAGAAAAAGAGAGGCAATATAGCGATACTCACGTCGTGGGGATCGTTCTAGTGTTATTGCTTCGTGATTTTGTGCCTCGGATGATAATCTTGTTGGATAACCTTGTGGACAGCTTAAGGGTGAGGTTAGGGGTCTTATTTGGTCGAGCTCTCTGGAATTATGAAGAAAGAGACGACATAGGAAGATAAATATCCATTTTGGTTGAAAAGTCAAAAGGTGCTACTTGGCACCATCTCATTGGCCCTTTTTTAAATACCTATATCTTTTTATCCGGATATCGTATGAACGAACGGTTAAGAGTGTTGGAAACTAGATTCCAAGAACTTCAATTTGATATATAATATGTCCCAAAAAGACCTCATATAACACACGAAATGTATTTCTCAAAAAGCTTTAGTGACACACCTACTTGCCAACTATACAGTCTGTGCAGTCTTGCAAAACTGCAAATATCTCTCTACCCCGATGTCGTATCGAAGAACGGTTTAATGCATTGGAAACTAGACTCGTAAATCTTCAATTTGATATGTAGATCCTCCATTGATTCCAAGTATATTGGGAGAAAAGTGCATCTACATTTGACCTAAATGTCAGCAAATTATAAATGGAACTTGTGATGACCTTTTCCAACTTTTGTTCCACAACTCGCTTGACTTCAAAACATAACACCAACTATCGTACGACTAAAATAACTCATAATACAATCTCGTTATAATGTTAATAACCCTAGTATCACCCCAAAAGTACATGGTAAAATATTCCAACTTGTCGACTTTCGACGAAACTTATTTTCTTCAATTCATTTAGCTTCTAAGCCTTCAAACCCTCTTGCTACTTGGTATTAATGATCTTAAATATTTGTAACCTCCACGTTAACATGATGAACTAACTGTGTAAACTTTTCAAAGATGATTCCATTTCTGAGCTTACATTAATTGACTTATGACGTACTCTTACATACGATAACACGGGGTGTAACAGCGACACTCTTGGTCGCAAATGCGAAGTCCCTCCCTTTGCCCAGTGTTCGCATATGCGAACTTGCCTTCGCAATATCACATCAGGTCGGGGTTCGCAATTGCGAACCCCAGTTCGCAAATCCCATATCTGCAACCTGCAATATTTTACACTTAGCCGAATTTTGAACCATTTTCAACATTCTTTCAACACACAAACTTCTTGGGGCGATTTTTCAAGAACAAGTTTTCTTCCAAATCAATTGTATGTTGATTTTTACTCATTTCTTTCAATCATTAACATCATTTAACATGTTTTTAACTTAAAATCAAAGATTTTCATGGGAGAAATTGGGGGTTTTGGGTAGAACCTAGGTTTTTCTAAAAATTGGGAATTTGGACCTCAATTTGAGGCCCGATTTCAAAACAAATCATATATTTGGGTTCGTGGGGTAATGGGTAGCCGGGTTTTGGTTCGAACCTCGGGTTTTGACCACGTGGGCCCGGGGGAAATTTTGGAATTTTTGGGAAAAACTTTGGGAAATTTATTTTATGTATTCAAATTGATTCATTTAGCGTTTATTGATGTAATTAAGTAACTTGTGACTAGATTCGAGCGGATTGGTGGTGGAATCGAGGGGTAAAGCCATAATTGTGATTTGAGTTGAATTCAAAGCATTGAGGTAAGTGTTCGGTTTAACCTTAGCTTTAGGGATTTGGAGTTGAGTCATATTTGTTATGTGTTTCTTGTGGAGTACGACGTATAGGCATGGTGACGAGTATCTATACGTCGGTGTCGAGCATGACCGTGAGTCTTAAATTGACATTTTGTGTTCTTGAATAATTCTATAGATGAAATAGTGAGTAGACTTGTGATATTGAGCAAAGGCTTAGCTTATTTTCGTGGAAGTTAATCATGAGTTAGAAATGGTGATAGTAGAAATGTTAAAAATTCGAATTGAGATTGGTTATAGCTGGTTCTCCCTTGTCGGGATGAGTATACTTGTACTGTTGAGTTCCCTTGTCGGGATAGAGTATTTTATGATTAATCCCCCTGCCGGGATTTGTGGTTATGATTACTGTAAGCTATGTATATGTGGAACGGGTTGCGCGCCGCAACATACGTTATATTGGATCGGGTTGCACGCCGCAATATATATTGTATTGGGTCGGGTTGTACGCCGCAACATATATTGTATTGGGTCGGGTTGCACGCCGTAACAGTTATATTTATAAGTACGGGTCGGGTTGCGCGCCGCAACAGTAGTGCTATCATATTGTTTTGGACATTGCACTGTTCCTTCGCATTTAATTCAGTTTTCGCTAAGTTGAATTGTTTTCCCCGAGGCATGTACCCCCCTCCCTTATAACTGCTCATTACTTGTTTATTTTCTGCAATATATTATATAACTGCACAAAATTGTCTGGAGTCTGGTACTTGCCTCGTCACTACCTCGCCGGGGTTAGGCCAGACACTTACCAGCACATGGGGTCGGTTGTGTTGATGCTACACTCTGTGCTCTTTTGCACAGATCCAGGTGTTGGACAGCAGCTGCATTAGCGCGGGAGTTAGCCTTCAGTCCAGCGAGACACCGAGGTAGCCTTGCAGGCGTCCGCAGGCCCGACGTCTCTTCTATCTTTTATTTCAGTCTGTTATCTCATGTGTTTCGAGACAAACAGTTATATTTTCTTTCAAACGGTTGTATTTAGCACTCTTAGTAGCTCGTGAGTATGTGACACCAGCTCTTGGGTAGAGGTTTATGTTGAGTTTCCGCATTGTTGTTCACATTCTTTAATTTATGACTTTCGCTTATTTGCTTTATTCCGCTTTTTTCATGATATTACCGATAATTTTTAAAAGAAGTAAATTGGTTAATGTTAAAGGTAGTTAAGGGTTGGCTTGCCTAGCTCTCATCAGTAGGCGCCATCACGACTCCCGAGGGTGGGAAATCTGGGTCGTGACACATACTGCCCATTTTCATGCCTTGGCTTGAATCAGGCGCCAATGCCTTGTATTCAGCTGCATTGTAGCCACATTTTACCTATGCCATTGCCCACGAACATGGCCCTTTGCCGCGCCCCAATGCCATGACAAGTCTGTCTCGCACACTACCTTCCGTTGCACTTTAGCCTGCCTTTGCCAACTTTGTTTTTGCCTTGCCTTGGCATCACTGCCTCATGCCATGATGCCTTTGCCATGATCAAGTGTCACCCTCAGCCCACATCTCATTGTCAAGCCCTTGCCAAGCTGCCTCGCCTCCGTCAAATCCTTGGCCATCACTTGCCCATTTTCCTTTTTGCCTTGGTGCTACCTGTGCACTTTAGCTTGGCAACACTCTTGCTGTCCCATGACAACACTCTCGTTGTCAAGTCAAGCTCAAAATGGCGGAGGTCTAACAAACCACCTACACCCTTTGAAACTCGACGTCCTCATCGAGGTTAGCTCAATTTATGAGTCCTAAGGGGTTGACAACCAACGCCCTTTGGCCTCCCTTCTCTTCAGCCACAATTGCATTCACTCCAGCCACTTGTTTGTCGCTGGCCATTGCCTCCAATGAAGCCCTCTTGTCTGCGGCAGTCATAGCATTTAGCACTGCCTTCTTCGGGCAGTCCCTTGCTCGATGTGGCCCATCACAAATGAAACAACCACTGAATTTGCTGCCCTTCTCCTTGCTCTTTGAAGTTCCAGCCTCTTGCCTTCCCTTCCCCTTATCTTCATTAGCATTGGTATTTTCACATTTCTTCTACTCCTTAGCCTTGTCTTTCTTTCTGTCGTTAGACTTTGAAGCAGAAGTCTCTCATCACTCAAGTGAAAATCTCCCAATGCATCAGTCGCAGCCACAACACTTGCAAGATTTTGAATATTTTGCCTACATAACTCCAGTTGTGCCCACTGTTGCAGCCCGCTCATGAAGTTGTGAAATTTTTCTTCTTCCGACATATTGCTGATGCTCAACATCGAAGAAGTGAATTCTTTGACATATGCTCTAACTGATCCGGTTTGCTTCAACTTTTTCAGTTTGTCCCTAGCAATCCATGACATATTGCTAGGAAGGAACTGATCCTTCAATTCCTTTTTAAGCCGCTCCCATGACTTAATCTTTGATCTACCCAAACATTCATCTTCAGCCACACGAGTGCGCCACCATAACTTAGCATCTTCACTCAAATACATGCTAGTCAAGGTTACTTTCTCCTTCTCGTCTTGCACACGAATAACATGAAAGTACCATATTCCAAAGAAAATTTTCTAATTCACGTGCACTCCTTGCACCACCAAATGCCTTAGGTTTAGGAATTTATACCTTGAGACGATTAGCACCAGAGTGAGGAGCATCCTCGCCCACAGCACGTCGCAGCACCACTGCCTCAGTTTTCAGATCCGCATTCTCTTGACTTAGCCTTGCCAATTCTGCCTCAAGGTAGGCAAGCCTTGTCATGAGAGTCTGAATTTCTTCTCCTTCGGGAACATTTCCAAAAAATGCCTCCACTTTTGTTAGCCTTTCCCGCAGTTCGTTGTTACCACCGGCCATGTTCTCAAACAAGACCACGAAATCTGCCACTGCCCATCGTGTCTCCGTCACGAACCTGCTCCGCTCTGATACCAATTGTCACAGGCATGTTTTATGTCCGCCGAAACCAGCCTGCGCGGCAGCCAAGTCCCGCACTTGACTTCAGCCTTCTGACAACACTTAGCCAAAATTACAGCAACTTTGGACTTAGATTATTTTTAGGCAGCTTTCAACGTAGTAAGTTTAGGAATGATTTAGGCAACGAAATTTAGTAAAGGCAACAGAAAATTAACAAGATCACAAGGCATAATATATAGGAAACTCTTTTCCAACTTTGTATTTAACTCGAACATACAAAGAAACTTAACTCAAAGTACAACTGTGTACAAAAGAAAATCACTCTTGACCCTCAGATTTTTCTCACAAGACAACTCTTAGCCTTAGGTGTTTTCACTCTTGAAAACAGACTCAACATGCACTCACACACTTTTTTCTCTCATGCCCCAAGCATAAGGATTCTGCCCATTTGTAAAATATGAGACATCCCCTTTTCCTTACACTTGTTGCACTTAGGCTTAGACACTTGTCCCATACAGCCCACTATTTTAGCCTAGTGTAGTTGACATCCGCCAACTACTAGGATCATGTAACATCATGCTAATAGTAATGAAATCATTGCCAAAAACGTGCTAACACCATCTGCCAGCATTTTAGCAAAGCCAACTGCTGTCCATGTGCACAGCATGCGCCGCGTAA